GAAGGTTCACGCTTAACAATCTCATAAATCTCATTAAAAAACCTCATTAAAAACAATCTCCTAAGGCAAGAATTGATCTTACCGCTACAGTTGCTATGTGAGCAACATTACACTGGCTCAGATGTAGAAGTGATAAGCCAAGAGGTTTTTGCTAAATTTGCAAACGGCATTGTCTAGCAGAAGGAGCTCCTGGTCAGGAAATGTGAAACGTTCCCACCATTGCTATGCGCTGGCTGGGTTTGAAGATATTGATAGATTTGGAGTTACCGAAAGTGCTGCTCAGACGGGCAGAACTGTACGTTTAGAAGCTTGATTTCAGCTTCCTGGTTGTGAACACATTGAACTTCTGTGTTGGTAGAACATGGAGAGCTTTCCTTGATACACCAAGTCCAAATAGCTTTTAATTATTAACTCCAGAATAGGTGTTCTTTTTCTTCGAGCAATTCAGTGTCTACGATAAGAGTACAGCTTTCACCTGTTGTATGCAAGTATGTAATTAACCTTAATACAAATAGCCCATGTGATGAGGGGAGTAGCTCTTTGGGCAAAGGTACTTCACTGATCAAGGCCTAAACTTTCAGGGTTGGGTTTTTTTTGTTTGTTTGGGTTGGCTCTTTGTTTTTAGTGCCCACAGCAGTTTCAGGTATTTTAACAAGACATTGCCTGCATTAGTGTTTTAAAATGCAGCTACGTGTATTCTTAAAGGTTACAGTCCTGCAGATAACCTGACCTGGCTCAAATCAGGCTGTGGGTCTGTAAGCTAAATCATCCTTGCAGCCTGTCTGCATGCAGTGGTACCCTGCGCTCCTTGGACCTCCCGCCTAACGCTTCCCCCAGGCTCCCTGTGGTGCGCAGGCCTGGCGTCCACGCCTAGAGCTGCCTCTTCCACCGCCTGCGGCTGGCGCACCAGCGATGTGATCAGCCTTGTCTGGTTGCTGCAGGCCTTGTCCTTCAGCCCGCCGCTGTAGGGATTGCGCTTTCAAATCGTGCATCTGCACCTAGAACAGGCTTTGTTTAAAAAACAAAATGAAACAAAAACCCAACACCCAAACCCAGTCTTTTAGTGGTTAATGTCACACTGAGTACAAAGTTAATACGAGACCTGATTGTACCTTCTTCTCTCTTAAATTTCTGGTACCTCAGAAGCGGGGCGCAAAAAAGTCTCTTTGCGCTGTGAACATCCTTATCTGAACAGCACCAGAATGATATGCTGGGGAACTGGAAAGTGACTATCTCATTTATTATCATTAATACAGGGTAGACTAGGGAGCTGAATTAGTCCTCAGACACTTGGAGGCAAGGTCTACATCTCAGTTTCAGGTTGCGTGTTGGCAGCTTTTGATTGCTGTTAGGTGATTATGGTAACCTTTGGTATGATTGTGCAGCAGATCATAGCTGCCCTTCTTGGAAGAGAATGTAAGAATGTCTTTGGCTGGTGTGTATTTCCTCATGTATCTGTGATGGAACTAGCAAGCCTGAATATTCTGTGCTCAAAGCCGGAACCATCTTTACCTTTTTTGTGTGTGCGCCAGAGCCGTGTTAATGTTTTTGTCTCTCTTGGACAATACAGCCAGCAGCAATAACTCAACACTTAATTTTCTTGCTGTGACTAGCAAAAGGTGAGACCTGTAGCACTCTCAGCACATGGGGACTGGTCTGAATGTATGACCTCTAGGAACAGTTAGCGCAGGAAGCAGAGAATGATGCAGAACCATCAGCATTGCATACCGTCAGAGCTTCTTAGAGCTCTAGGTTTGAAGAAAAGAAGCAACGGTGCGGTGGTGGTGTGGGCTGAGCGCTGTACGGAAACCTTGCTGGTACCGTTTCTGTAAGGGAAGTTGCCACCCTTCTGGCATACAAACTCTTTGATAGCCCAGCGCTAGAGCTGATTCAGGCGTGGTGGCAAAACCTCATGTTATTAGCCTTTGATACCAGAATAGAGCTCCACAGCAACAGTCTGTCTGAGTTTTAGATGCCTTAGTTATGCCTGTAGCTAAAAGTTCTGTTTCATCAAGAGTCTGTAGTCTCTCTTGGTATAAACCTAGTCAGATAAGGGATCTACTTTACAGAGAAATTTGAAGAAGGTTTTGGTTGTGCCTTCTCCCTTTCCCCACACCTGAAACGACCCAAGATCATGAGGCTTTCCCTGTTAACACCAAGGGTATGCCTGATGCATCAGTGGCCGTCGGCTTCACTGAGGCTCTAGGTTTTTGCCTGGTTTGAATATGGCGTGTCGTGGCCTCTAGAAATAGCTACAGAGCAAGGCAGAGGCTTTTTTTTTTTTTCTGGGATAGGAGCAGGAATATAGAGAACTTGTTGCTTTCTTAGTTCTTAGGGCAAAGGTTTTCCTGCTGCTTGATCTGTTTTTTCCAGGAGGGAGGGGAGAGTAAGAGATTGGAGAAAACAACCCTCCTCCTCTTCTTGCATGGTTTACTTCATTAAATCATCAGCCATCAAGCTGATAGTGTACTTGCTAAGGTCTCATTCTGTGCTGGCGTGCTGAGGCAGCAGGGCACAGGAATGAAAATGGTTCCTGAGCATGTCGGAAATCCTACTGTTGTCCTTGTGTGGAAATAGTAGGGCTATATGGAGCACACAGTAAAATGCCTATATAGCCTGGTCTGCCACTGCTGTTGCTCCCGCCAGCAGAGAGCACTGATGGTGAATTACAGCTTTAACTCTCGCTAATCAGGACGCTGTTCTGTGCTGGGTGTGCACTGTGCCTCGAGGTTTGTGTGGGAGCAGGCAGCCCTGGGCTTGCTGCACAAGTGGAAGATGGCTTATGCTGGGAGTCAGGCGGAGGAGATTGTCCTTGGCGCGGTAGGTGCAAAGTCCGGGCTTGCTGTGTCACCTCTTTGGTTTCTGTTGGGCTGGTGTCAGCTCCCCCAGTAGATCCGGCGTGATAACCGATGGGCTTGCTGTGGAACTAGTGCCTGGTAGCGTGGGTTTGGGACCTTGTCTGGCATGCTTCTGCTCCAGTGCTTTCTCTGAGCGCTTACCTGTTACATCTCCTGTCCTTTCTGGGAGCATGCACAGCCTTTCTGCATGGAGGCATGCTTTATATTTACCCTTATTTCCAAGGGGATTTCACAGGCAGCTGGATTGCTCTGTGTGTTTGTTTCTTTTGCCTATTCCCACCCCGCTCAAATGGATTAAGGCAATCTCCCTCCGTTGTTCCTGGTGAGGGGATTCTCAACTACTGTGAAACTGTGCTGGCAGCAGGCCGATGGCGTTTGGGTGTGCCTCCTCTGCTCTGTGAAGAAGAGCTGCCAGGGGACTGGGAACTGACAGCTGTATGTGGCAGTATAGTCTCCTATGGTGTACTGGCTGTTTGGGAAAGCATGCTCAAAAGAGGAGGAAATACAGTAACCCTCAGTCTGGGGAATGCTGGAAATCATGTGAGCATGAGAAGCAGCGACAGAGAGTGTCTCATGTCCATTTTTAGGAAGTACTTAATAACATGAGGTGTTCACAACGTCCTCTTCTCAAGGTTGCACTTACATGGTAGGAATGCTTTTCACCCCTTTATAGTCGGGGAAAGCACAGTAAAGGGCAATTGCTTGACATTTAGGTATGTGCAGCTATGGCCAGAGGTGAACAGCTGTGTCCTTGGTGTGTACAGGTCATGCGTACTGTGTATTCAAGCTCTGTCACTTCTGCGGCAGACAGTGCTGCTATTGTAGGTGGTGGTGCAAGACACACTCCTTTTCTGGCATTTATAAAGCATAGCTTGTATCCCAATAATCGGCTTCCCTGGTCACAGAGTAAATCAGAGCCAGCTTACAAACCCAGAAGCCCTGACCTGCAACCCAAACTGTTTTTTCCCTGCCAAAGAGTTGTCGCTTCTTCCCTTTCCCTCCTCCCTGCAAATTCATGCACCTGTCAAACTCGTCTCTCTGTTACTGTAGGTCTTCTTGAGCTGAAAGGATGAAAATTGGCAACTGGAAAGTCACTGACGCTGTTCTAAGCTTCATCCTAACTTCTGGAGTCCCAGTTGATGTCTTTGGGTGTACAAGCCTGTGAGAGTGTCCACTGTCCCGTTCCATGATTCAGACAGCGGCTTGGAGCATGCATCATTGTAAGTAAGGTTTACATGATTTTGGCGCTGGCGGTGACACCGTCCCTTTCCCAGTCGGTGCAAAGGGGTCAGTGGCACAATGGAGCTGCCTATGCCTATCTAAACTGATCCTGAATCCTGGATCCCCTCCCAGCCTGAGGGTCTCTCCCTGCTCCCTCCTTTTGTGCACGTCCCTGGGCTCACTCATGCCAGATCAGTCCCTGCCCTTCCCACCATCACCCGCTTCCAGCAGCGCAGCCAGCCCCTGGCTCGCCTTGCACCTGACCTTCTCTACCCCTTTTTGCACGCTGTGATTCCAGAGCGGGATGATCGACCACCGAAGCTGCAATGTCGTCCCTGACGACCTCCAGTGAGGGGGAGAACTCCACTCCCAGGTTTGTTGTCGGTTCCAGGGATGATGAGACAGACTTTCTGGGATCAAACATGAAGACAGACGAAACTGATTTCTTTGAAGATGATGAAGAGGAGGAGTCGGTAAGGAGATCCTGGCCTTCTGGGTTGGAGCATCTGTGCAGAATTCCTGGGTCTCAGCTGGGGTTTGCGCGGTTGCTGCTCAGGCCGCAGGCAGTCAGGACTTCAGGGGACATGGCACCAGGCTGCGTGGCACAACCGTAGGGAACGGCAAGGGATCTTGTACCTTTGTCAGATGTGTGGAAGAGCACTTGGTACTGTTTCTCTTCTACTCATAGCTACTTACTGTTGTAATCTCCCCTTCATTTTCTCTCAGATGAGACAAACAGACTGAGCTCCTGGACTTTTTTGCTAGAAAACATTTGCGGCTCTTCTCTGAGCCTACCTAAGTCCACCAACTGTCTTGGTGAGTTATGGGCCAGAGAACATGATGTGGGATTCCAGGCCCTGCTGCTTGTTCAGGTGCCAGATATTTACTTCTGACCTTAGCGTTAGTGCCCAGTAAAAGGAGGAGGTACATACTACCTGGCAAAGAAGCGGTTGTGTTGGGCTGCTCCTTAATGATGTCCCCCAGTGGACTCTAGTGGGAGCTGGAAGTGTGTATGGGTTCGAGTCCAGCAAGAGCCATGAGTGCATAAGGTTGGAAGAAAATCCCTTGTTTGTTCTGCATTGCTGCATTTCTACTGTTATAGTTTAAATTCAGTAAAGTAGTTGACCCTGTACTAAACTGATCTCTGTCTTCCCTTAGCCACCTGAACGGCAGATTGTGGTTGGAATCTGTGCCATGACCAAAAAGTCCAAGTCAAAGCCCATGACACAGATTCTGGAGCGTCTGTGCAAGTTTGAGTATATCACAGTGGTGATTATGGGGGAAGATGTTATTCTGAATGAACCGGTGGAGAACTGGCCCTCGTGTGACTGCCTAATATCGTTCCACTCCAAAGGTAAAAAGTCCGTGGCAGGCCTTAGCCTACTTGAGATCTGGGCAAGGGAGCTTCCACTCATTCTCCCCCCCCATATTTCAGGATTCCCCCTGGATAAAGCGGTTGCTTATGCCAAGCTGTGCAAGCCATTTCTGATTAATGACCTTGATATGCAGTATTATATCCAGGACAGGTAGGTGTCTGTGATCCACTAAAGCCCCTTCCTTCTTCCTTTGTCTGATTCCTCTCCTCAGCATGCTGTGCAAACTTCGTCTTCCTGGCCACAAGCAAATGAGTGAGATGGGGAGGAAGGGGACCTAAGCAGTGGCTTTTAGGGGTTGTTTCTCCAAAACATGGAGTGGGATAGATTTGGGGGTAAAACCATCGAGACTTGACATGTTTCATTGGCTGGTGCAAATGTCTTGTACGGAATGGCTAAAGGAAGTAGGAAGTGGAAGAGGTCTCACAGAACGAGACTGCCACAACTAAGACAAAAAGACTAGTCTCTGAGTAGGAGAGCCAAGTAGTGGGATGGGATTCTGGGACGGAAATTGGGAACAAGGCCAGGTCAGATTCTGAGGAGAGTATGTTGGTCAGACATTTCAAGAGGCCTCTCAGTCAGCTCTTGGTAGAGGCCACCAGCAGTCACGTACTTCAGTGCATACAGCCAGACTGCTTTGGCTGTGTAGGGGTAGGGCTCATACCAGACCTTAAACCTCCTGCCGTGTCTTTGGGTTGTGAGCAGTGTTCCTGTAGGTGCTGACAAGCACCCCAAGGTGTAGCTCTAGTGAAAGAATTGTGGTTTCCCCACTGACACAGGATGAGAAGAGGCTCTGCTGCATCTGCTTGGCCTGGGTGTTGAGCAGCTTAGCGTGACAGGGCACCCTTTGAGAGGGCAGATCTGGGTAGGTGGTGTGTGCTGGGCGCGTTGCTGTGGATTGGGCATGTGCTAGTAAATAAGCATCCATGTTTAGGCCAAGTAGAGATTTTCTCTGGGACACCTCTGTCTGGAGTAGGACTGAGGCACGCCCCATAGCCTGTAGGTCTTATCTGGAGAGCATGTGCTGAGAAGTATTTGCACTCTGTCTTGAGGCTTTTCTGTGTTCATTTGACTTTGTTCATCAGTGGGAGTGAAGCTTTTCCCTTGCCATGCACTGAGGACCTTCTAGACTCTTCTGACACTGTTTCTGTCCTCTACAGGCGTGAAGTGTATCGGATCCTTCAAGAAGAGGGAATAGACTTGCCCCGCTATGCTGTGCTCAATCGAGACCCTGATAAACCAGAAGGTCAGTGTCCAGGCTCTACTGAAAGCCATTTTCACGTCCTGTACTATTTCAGATGTTCTGCAGAGAACAGGTACTGATAATCAGCTTGAAGAGGCCTGATTCACAAGTCTGTTGGTTTTTGCGGACAGAGGTTCCAACAGCAAAACTGGCTGACTGGCCAGGACTGAAGGGCTTCGGTTCCGCACTAGGGCTGTCTCACCCTTTCCTAACATGCTGCTGCTGTGCTTTGTCTTCAGAGTGCAACTTGGTGGAAGGAGAGGACCATGTGGAGGTAAATGGAGCTGTTTTCCCAAAGCCATTTGTAGAGAAGCCAGTCAGTGCTGAAGATCATAATGTGTATATTTACTACCCGACATCAGCAGGTGGGGGCAGCCAGCGGCTCTTTCGGAAGGTGAGGAGGGGGACTCCAGTTTTGGTGTTGGAACCAACAGATCTGTGGCTCTGAGACTCATGTGGCTTCAGGAGGGAGTGTTGGGGCAGGTGAAGACAAAAGGAAGGTTTTGTGTTGGGGAAATCTAGACCTTCTTAGATCTTTTAGTTCAACCCCATCTACCTGGGAATTGCAGAAGGACATATTTTAGTGGTAGTGCTTGACTTTGCCTTCCCCATCGCCTGTTTGACCTATGTCCTGTCTAGCAGTCGTGGAGAACTGTGTCCCTTATTGAATTGCATGCTGTTTTTTCGAGATCGCTTCCTCAGTTTATCAAGATGATTTTTTTTAAACTTATGTTCCTGTCCTCTAACATCATTCTTGCCCTTCTCAACTTAGTGTAGCTTGCAAATGTGATAAATGCAATATTTGTTCCTAGATTCCACAGGGAATCTGTCCTTTCTCACTTCCTCCGCTTTGCCAGCAAACAGTTAACAGCTGTGATATATCTTTTTTCCAATAAGTTAATGCATCTGCCATTAATAATCTTAAAATGATTGTTTCCGTAGCTAACATACAGGCATGCCACTTGAGGTTGTATCCAAAGCCTTACTAAAAATGAAAACATCATCCTCTGTCCATAAGATCAGTCAACTGTCCTAGAAGGAAGTTAAATTGGTCTGATTATCACCTGTCATAATTTATTTTCATTTGCTTATTAGCTAGGCTTCTTACTTTCTAGGTCCTTATCCACTGTTTTTTGTTCCATATCCTTGTAGTGATTGGAGTCAACCTAATGGCCTATAATAACTTCTCTCCTTTTTGAAGCCTGGAAAAGGACACAACTACTGTCTGCATTTTGGAGTCTCTTTTGTCCTCCATAAATAAGCACGCTGTAATAGCTGGGGGTTCTGAGGGGCATTCTGCTAATTCTCTACATATGGGATGAAACTTAGGCTTTTTGTTCTTCCATCTAAGAAAAGGAGTGCCATGCTCTTCCCTGAGGTGTTTATTCTGTGCTTTCAGATCGGCAGCCGGAGTAGCGTGTACTCCCCAGAGAGCAGTGTGAGGAAGACAGGCTCCTACATTTATGAGGAGTTCATGCCTACAGATGGCACTGACGTAAAGGTGAGGAAAAGCCTGGAATAGCTCCTTCCTTCTCCAGGTCTGGGGTGGCTGAAGGTTGGGCAGTCCTCCTTAGTCCTACTTAGATTCTGGAGCGTTTATTTAAGCTGCGAGGTGCTGACTGTGCAGCTTGGATCCCAAAGCGGGGAGCGGGTGTTCTGTAGGTCGTAACAGGAGGAATGCACGAGACCGTCTGATCTTCTCTCTGTGTCTGCAGTAGAAATGCCTTCTGGAAGCTGCAGTTAGTCTAGATGGTTATGTCACGTATAACTGTTTCTCTTCCCAGGTGTACACTGTTGGGCCAGACTATGCCCATGCAGAGGCTCGCAAATCCCCTGCTTTGGATGGGAAGGTTGAACGGGACAGTGAAGGGAAAGAAATCCGTTACCCAGTCATGCTGACTGCCATGGAGAAACTAGTTGCCCGGAAAGTCTGTGTAGCCTTTAAGGTCTGTGTTTTCTCTCCTATACAAGCAGGATATACTCCATGAATGTCTGATTCGAATCTCGGTCAGTGTTAAAGCTTGAGCTCTGTTGCCCCGATGTGTCTCCGGTGTGGTAGTCTTCCACACCTGATGCCACGTGCCATCTCTGCTGGCTGGGTGCAGCTGGTTCTGCTGGCCATGGCAGTCTGCTGGTCAGAGATGACTGGGAAGGCAGGAGGGCCTGCAGCAAATGCAGGTGGCTGGTGTCCAGCATTTAATATCAGATTCTGAGCATGTGCTGTCCATCTGACCTGCACTTGTCCCACCTTTACTGTTTCCTAGTTGTGTTTGTGTAGAAAGCTTGGTGGTCTTTTCTTCTGGGGTGTTTTTTGGTTTTGTGTTTTTTTTTTTCTTTTTCTCTTTTTGATCTGGCTTTGGTGCACATTTGTGTTCTGTTTTACAGGTCAGTAGAGTGAGTGTGTGAGTCTAGGTATGGTTACATGATATGTTCAGCAATGTCAGCAGAAGAAGCACTCGGCTACTTGTTCCTGCTCCTGCTGCGATCTGCAACCCATGCAGTTGTGCTGATACAGCTGTGGGCTTGTTCTGCCTTGTAGCCTTTTCCACATAGTGATGGATGTCTTTGCCTGCACCGCTTATTGTCTGTACTTGTCAGTCTGGTTCGAAATGGTTGGATTTAGAGGCAAGAGCAGGAGAGCCAGGAGCTGCTCTGTCTTAAGCCTTTAGAGCTCTGGGAGGCAGGGGCGTGGTTCTGACGGCTTCATCCAGGGGCTCGTGGGTTGGGTCTTCGATACAGCTGTGAGGCTGTGAAGGTTCCTCTAAAGGGGCTGTTACTGCTGGCTAGTGGCTGTATTTTCACACTTCTTCAAGGCTCATGAGGTAGGCATAGAGTGGAGGACGGCTGCAGCACCAGTGGAGTCAAACTGGGCAGTGTATGCTGGTTGGGTCTGCATGTGCACCCCACTTGGCTGGGCAGCTGCTGTCCCCTTGCTGCATTCCCTCACAGTGTGCCTGAGTCCTGTGTCCTCTGCTTCCTCATGCAGCAAACAGTGTGTGGGTTCGACCTCTTGCGGGCAAACGGCCACTCTTTTGTTTGTGATGTGAATGGCTTCAGTTTTGTGAAGAACTCTATGAAGTATTACGATGACTGTGCCAAAATCCTTGGGTATGTAAAATTCAAGTTTTGATAGCGGGTAAGGTAACTCATAGCAAAGTAAAAATGGAGTCCTGATGAGTATGTTGGAGAAGTCTGCAGGGGGTTCATATGGGGACATTTGTTCAGCTGGTGAAAGCTTGGCTCTGGGAGGAATGGGTTAATTATTTTTAGCCCTTGGAGCTCCTGCCTGCATTAGCATTAGCTGTCTTTGTCTACAGCTAGATGTATCTTGCAGGACTTTTCATTGGATGCTAAGCCCAGCTGCAGTATTGGTGATGTGAGGGAAATTGGTGTCCTTTTGGGGTGCCCTAACTAGCCCATGGTGTGATAGATGTCTCTGCAAGGAAGGTGAGGAGAAATTCTGTGGCTCTCTTCAAATCCATCAGCTGGACCACTAAGGAGGAAGTGGAGAACCAAGGGAATGGAATTTCTTGTGAGTTTTGTATTCTAATTTCTTCCAGAAATATAATCATGCGGGAATTGGCTCCCCAGTTTCATATTCCCTGGTCCATCCCAACAGAGGCAGAAGACATTCCCATTGTCCCCACAACTTCAGGCACCATGTGAGTACCTGCCATCTTCTCAAAAGAATGCGGGTGATGGCTACATGAGGGACAAAGTGCAAACCCTGTCCAAGGGACAGCCATCACCCAGCAGCATGGCATTCTCCAGCTGCTGTGTTGGTTGCAACCCTGAAATGCCTGTGGGAAGGCTTAGCCATGCACACAAAAGGGGTGGTAGATGGTAAATCAGTCTTACATTTGATGAATGCAGATGAGCAGTCATCGAAGGAATTACAGAAACTGCTCACATGGCTTTCAGAAAGCCGAAATTCTTGATCAGCACAGGAAACAGATTAGGGCATCGCTGTAGCTGGCTCACTGTTTAGTAGGCTGCTACTCGGAGAAAGTGCATATTGAGCTGCCAGTGAAATGGGTGGAAAACACGTAGCTGAAGTATTCACGTTACCCGTACACTTGGCAGACCCTCATTTGATACTGTTGGCCTTAGTCATTTTCCACCATATAAGGTTAAAAGACCAAAGACAAAAGTTTCTTTGTGATCCTCAGCACGCTTGTACACTTGTATGAAGTGAACAAAGTAGGTGCTACAGAAAAGGTAGATTGAGAGTCTGTATTCATCCTTCCTTTACCGTGTGATCATTTGGAAGAAGTTGGCAAACACAAATACTGCACAGCTCACGGGGACTGCTGGCTTCAACGACACCTTGTGACAGTGAGACTGATAGAATTGATCCCTATTTCTCTGGGATCCTATGAGAAATAGTTGGATATTGTAGTATCTGAAAAAGCAAACTCATGTAGCCCTTATGAAATTAGCCAGCCTAACTACTGGTTCCTGCAGGTGGCAGATTGCTATGGGATTTTTCTACGTACAGCTCTTATTGGTTGCTTGAAGACAGGACCCCAGCTATATAACCATTATTCTGAACCAAGTTGTTTTTTCCTGGGCCTTTCTAAGTGGTCCTATGAGTATTACACAAACTGGGCATGAAAACAAGCTTGGCACAATTAAAAATGATATTTCTGTACATTTTGTAACATCCAGCCTGGTCTGTTCTGCTGCAGATGTGGTTCTGCCTGTCGTATTATGGTACTGTGGTGCTTTTCCCTGGTAGGAAGCCAGATGACCTGATAGTGTCTGCAGTACTTTGACTGCTTTTATAGCCTTGGCACTTGTGCCTGTGGTCTGGGAGAAGTTCTGCCACTGGTGAGGAAAGCAGCTGTCAAAAGGATGAAACTGAAAGAACAATGGGAAACTACTTTCTGGTGGCAATTCTGGAGTGTACAGGCACATTTGTCAGGTGTATCTTGTGTTTCCCCAGGATGGAGCTTCGTTGTGTTATTGCAGTCATCCGGCATGGAGATCGGACCCCAAAGCAGAAGATGAAGATGGAAGTGAAGCATCCCCGGTAAGAGTCAAGGCAAGAAGATGCTGTGCTGCTGGGAAGTGAGGAGGGCCCGTTTTCTGAATCAAGAGGAGGAGCAGAAGGGCTGAGTGCATGAGGGGCAGTGCTTTTTCCTGGCTCCATTCAAGCAAATGCTTTCTGCCCAGTTGAGGGAGTCCCCTTTCCCCCTAAAGATCCTGGCACCTTCTGTGGGAACACTGGAAGAAAGAGTGAAGGTCTGCTAGGTGCTGCAAAGGGAAGTGCCCCACTAAATGGGAAGCTAGTGGCTGCTTTCTTTTCATACCTGTGGCTGGAAACACTTGTTTTTTTTCAGAATTTCTGAAGCACAGGAAGGAGCCAGTGGGCCTGCTGGTTATCCCTGAAGAACAGAGCATGAATGCATATGTAGGGATGACAGTCCTTGTAGTACTGAAACAGCAGAAAATGGATCAGGGTTCTTTGTTGTCTGTTCAGGTTCTTTGAATTATTTGAGAAATATGATGGCTACAAGACAGGGAAGTTGAAGCTGAAGAAACCAGAGCAGCTACAGGTGAGGGGAGTCCTCTCTGGGCTTACTGTGTGGGACGTGCAGGTAATATGGATCCCAGCACAAGGCAATTCTTTGGGAGGGTGGAAACCCTCAAAAGGGTAACAGTCTGTCGCACAAACGCTCCCTTTCTCATTCCTCACCCCATGTACACTCAGCTGGGTGATAGTATGAGAGCAGAATGGAAACTGTTCCTGGCTGATGTGAAGACTGTAGGATGGGGATGACCTGATGCAGCTTGACCATCTGTTGTGGTGGCCTCTGGTGAAAGACAGATCCGCGCTAGGGAGCGGGGCAGTTGGAGGCACTCGCTTGGTTCTGAACGGGGCTGGAGCGCAGGGTGGGGATGAAGAAAACTGCAGCGTGAAAGTTTGTCCTGCCTGAGCTGTGTCTTATGAAATGCCGTGTCTCTGACGAGTGTCTGTGTGGACCTGATGCTGGGTGAAGCCATCTGCAGGCCTTGCAAGTGTACAGAGGTGAGTCGGAGGCAGAATTGCTGGATGCTTGAGACTGTCTGCTCTCCAACAGGAAGTGCTGGACATTGCACGGCAGCTTGTGGTGGACCTGGGAACCCACAGTGACTGTGAGATTGAGGAGAGGAAATCCAAACTGGAACAGCTGAAGAGGGAACAGCTGAATAGCGTCTTGGAGATGTAAGGGTTCATATCTCCGGGCACTGTGAGTTTGTCTCAGAGCTGTGATGTACGCAGTCAGCATGTGATGTAGAAGCAAGCTGTGCTGCCGATGTCCTGGCCAGCTGGCTCCCCAGAGGTCAGAGTCTTCTCCATCCCCTGTTAGCAGCTGTACGTGAAAGGTGCCATGTGCTTAACGTTTTCTCCTTGGCATCAAAACCACCGCTGATTCTTGTTCCAAGGTGTCTGTTTTTTGGCTAAACAACTTGAGACAAAACTGAGCTTCCTTTGCTGTGGGAGAGGAACTGGAGTCCTGTAGGGACCACACTGATATGAAGCGTTTTGATAAATTTGGAACAAATGTTGTTTTAAATAAGGTTGTCCTGGTGCCAAAAGTTTAACAAAAAGGAGCTTGGAAAACATCAAAAAATGTTTGTGTCCTCTTAAGTTTCGTACAGCTGAAATAAAAGACAATATAGTGGTGTTGGCATCTTAGAAACAAAAGAAGGGTTTCTCTCAGAACTATAGCTCGCTGTGGCATACACAGGCAGTGTCTGTGTTTGAGCCGTGTCTGTGGAGCACAGAGGATGAATTTTTGCTATGATTGCTTCTCCTGCTCTTTCTGCTCATTAGAGATGTGGTTATCCTCAGAGCGGCTGTCAGATTGGGGTTTTTTCTGTGATCTCATTAATTCACTTGTTAAAGATGTAGCTAGAAATTAACTAAGGCTGATTAAAGCCCCGGTGGGGTATGAGAGCACAGAATGCTGTCAGCTGAAGAGCAGGCAAGTAAATGGATCTTTGAATTTCATTTGGGGGAGTTGTTTGGCTTTTTTTGGGGGTGCGTGCCAGGTCACAGGTAGATGGCAAAAATGTTCATGTTCCGTGGCAATTGGTGTTGTAGCAGAACGTCTCTTGCCTGTGCTGTGTTTTTGCTGTGTGCTGCCTAAGGATCTCCGGGCAAAGGGTGAGTGGAGTTGATTTGTTTAAATTTTTTTGCCTCCTCTCCTTGTGACAGGTATGGACATTTTTCTGGCATTAACCGTAAGGTTCAGTTGACCTATCTGCCTCATGGACATCCAAAAGCTGCAAGTGAAGATGAAGGTAAAGAAACCTGATGTTGCTGCCATGATCTTAAAGCCTGATGTTCAAGAGCGCATGCAGATATCCTACCTAAATAGGCCTCTGGACGTGCAAGCAAAATTAGTGACCCATATCTTTGCTCACATCACATGAAGGGTCGGAGTGATGCATGATGTAGTGTACCAATATACCCTGGATGGTGCTACAGAGCTTATGCTTCCAATTTCATGAATGTCAGCACATACCTTCAAGTATATCCCCCAACCTGGGGATTTTGGGTCAGGCTTGTGTTGAGAATGCTCTGCAAGGTGCTGATGACAACCTCTTCTTCCTCCCCTCCTCTCCCCCTGCAAGCTCAGCTTTGAGATTTGATGTAGTGAGTACCTGTTTGTCTCCTAGAAGCTCGCCGAGAGTCTTCCCCATCCCTTCTTCTGGTGCTTAAGTGGGGTGGAGAGCTGACACCAGCAGGAAGAGTCCAGGCAGAAGAGCTGGGGCGAGCCTTTCGCTGTATGTACCCTGGAGGCCAAGGTAAGCTTTGTCCATGTATCTCTGGTCCTGTCCTGCGGCTGTGCCAGGCTGCCCAGCCCCGGTGACTAATCACCAGCGTGAGGGATGCTCAGACATCTGTGGGCTGTGTGCAGCCTGTGTGACTCAGGTGGTCACTGGTTTTGTTCTTTTGAGTTGACCTGGTAAGGATAAATTATTCAAGTGGGTTTTGCACCCAAAGATCCCTAAGCTGGCTAGAGGTGTCTGCTGTTAAACTTTAGTATGTCTTGGGGCACAATAGCATTCTTTCAGCTAATGTGCCAGTATTCAAAAAAGAGAAGCCATTCTAATAAGATACATTCTAATGCAACAAATACGATTCAAAATTTATATATGATTAACAAGAAATTTAGGTCAGATGTAGAGAACGGAGGAAATCTGTCTTGGAACACAGATAATCCTGCCTTGAGACAGGAGAATAGGAAGGTAACTTCTCCATATTTTCTATGCGATAATTCTGCGACTCTGAAAAGCATATAGTACACACATGGATCAACAAGAGCCCAAAGGGAAGAAGAAGAAAAAAAAAAGGCTGAGATTGCCTTTTTCATCTAAGTAAAGAGTCAAGAAGTAATACACTGCTACTGTATTGATCTGATGAGACCAGTATTGGATACTGCTTATCTTGGACTTGTATGTTTAATTAATTCAGTGTAACTAATTACATTTGAAATTAATTAAGCTAATTTGAATTGAATTGGAGAAGATTTCCTTCTGGAATAAGGAAGTGTTACCTTTGGTGGAAGAGGATCGGGTCAGGCCATACTTAAGCAAACTGGACATACATAAGTCCATAGGCTCTGACAGGATGCACACACAAGTGATGAGGGACCTGGCAGATGTCACTGCCAGGCCACTTTAGATTATCTTTGAAAGATTATGGGGACTGGAGGAGGTGCCTGAGGATGGGAGGAGAGGAAATGTGACTCCTAGCGTCAAAAATGACAAGGAGGAGGACCCAGAGAACTGCAGGCTGGTCATCCTCACCGCAGTCCTTGGGAAGGTTATGGAGCAGCTAATCCTGGAAACCATTTCTGGGCTATGACTTCAGTGTGGCTTTCAACCCTGTCTCTGGTAACTTCCTCATAGCTGGTGAAGTATGGGCTGGATAAGCAGACAGTGAGGTGGATTGAAAGCTAGCTGAATGGCTGGGCTCAGAGGGTGGTGATCAGAGACATAAAGCCTAGCTGGAAGCCAGGAACTAGCAGTGTAGCCCAGGGGTGAAAACTGGGTCCGATCTTCTTTAATATCTTCATTAATGATCTGGATGATGGGGCAGAGCGTACCCTCAGCAAGTTTGCAGATGACACAAAACTGGGAGGAGTGTCTGGTACACCAGAGGGTCATGCTGCCATCCAGAGGGACCTTGACAGGCTGGAGAAACAGGCTGGCAGGAACCTCATGATGTTCAACAAGGGGAACTGCAAAGTCCTGCCTCTGGGGAGGAACAGCCCCCTGCACCAACATGTGCTGGGGGCCAACCAGCTGGAAAGCAGCTTTGCAGAAAAGGACCTGGAGGTCCTGGTGGACAACAAGTTGAACATGAGCCACCAAAGAGCCCTTGCCACGAAGGCGGCGAATGGTATCCTGGGCTGCATTAGGAGGAGCGTTGCCGGCAGGTCGAGGGAGGTGAGCTGTGAGGTCGGATGCTTGGGATTTCAAGAGCACATTTTGGCAAACATGTGAGGATAAACTTTCCAAAATATGAGAAGAGTAGGTGCACATGGTGTTGCTTACTGCAAGGTGCCAACAAGTAGAGCAGACTGTCAGTGCACAGAGACTAAAGGAGGAGGAGCAGTAGCGGACAGAGGATCTTCATGACAGTGCCTGTGTGCCATTCTTGAAGATGGGAACGGTGAGCTAGAAAGGCTGGGGACTTCCTGGTGCTGTTGTGGGTCTCTGAAACCCAGAGCTGAGGGCATCAGCCACTGACTTGGAGAAGAGATTGGGAGACCAGAAGACAGTGTGCAGGAGAGGCAATTCCAGTGGAAGTACAGGGAGCAGATTGCAGTGTAGTGAGCCAAAACCTGAGAAGAGACTTGTCTGCAGACCTCTGGTCAAGTGGCGTGCAGTTACCAGCAAGCTGGGCTGAGCCCTAAGGTATGGTCTATGCCAGTTCTGAACTGACTGCTCCATATGTGGTGAGCGCCGAGTGGTTGCCTTCTGGCTCACAGTGGAGCTCGGTCTGATCGTGTACAAGGTAACTTCAGCCCTTCTGAATCATGGCTTTGGAGACTTCTGCTTCACGTGGTCATTCATAGAGAGGGAGAGATCTTATTTTGCAGTGAGATGCTGTGTTCCTGGGTAGCAGTTGGTACATGGCAGCTTTGTCCAGATACACAGCTGACTTCTGGCCGGTGTATGTCCTTGTCTAGCAGGGTGTTTCTCTGAGTTGTGAACTCAGAGCTCGGAGCATTTTTCCCATCTTCTCATGCAATGTGATTGGCTACCGTGCAAAATCATCATGGGATTCTAGGCAGCAGCAAATTAGTCACCACTGCGCTGTCTTTGGAGGGTCAGACTCAAGAGCAGCATGCGTTGCTTTCTCCCATTACGGATCTGACTCCTGTGGCTGACTCAGCCATCATAAATAAAACAGCGTTTTGTGCCGCAAGATAATTATAGCTCTACAGGATACGCTTTGGAAGCCAGGTGCCTCCCTACTGAATAGCTCTGCCTGCTGTTCTGGTGGCAGCGGTACCTGTTCTTGTGCAGAGAGCAAGTAGGAGGAGGCAATATTTTGTGCATCTTTATTCTGTACAGGGGTATTCAGGCTAGCAGAACAATTGTGGACTGTTCAGATAGGGTTGCTGCAGAATTTGGGCAGCATCAGACTTGACTGGTGAATGCTCACTTTTTTCCTCAAAATGACCTTTCCAAGTTAAGCAAAGCCTGAATCAGATTTCTAGTCATCATGTATGGCTAAAGCTGTCTATTTTGGAGCAGCCTAAATGCTAGCTATGAAAGTAATTAATTCTCTACATAACTTTGTTACTACAATAAAGTGTGTTGTCTAAAGCAGCATATTCAGCTGATAGTTTTGCCGGTGTCAGAATATCAATTTTGAGTTTGTTCTCCGTTCCAGGTGATTATGCTGGTTTCCCTGGATGTGGCTTGCTCAGGCTGCACAGCACCTACCGTCATGATCTCAAGATCTACGCCTCAGATGAGGGACGAGTTCAGATGACAGCAGCAGCTTTTGCAAAGGTCCTTCCTCTCTTTCAGGCATCTGTTAGTTCTGCTACATTAGTCTTAAAATATACCAGTTCTAAAGGTAAAACTCTGGTGATGAGGAAGGAGCTGTCCTAGGAGCTTCCCCCTCTCTGTTGGGAGGACTGTAGTACACTATGCTAATAGCAAGCGCATGGGGCGGTACTGGAAATCCAGTGTAGCTGCACATGTATGTTGTTACCTTTAGTATCCTGTCCAGGATAGGACTTTGACTGGAGGAGGAGTTATTTATGGAGTATTGCTGGTGTTTGATGTTAGAGTACATCAAACCTGTTGCTGAGTATTAATTGCCTACAAAATGAGTATTTCTTGGATGACTGCCCAGCCAGAGGGGTTATTCCTTGACTGCTGGATTTAAAAGGGGAATGAAATCTCTTTGGTGCAGTGTGGGGTGGGGGTTGGGAGAAGACAGGTTCATTTGCAGTTAAAACTTGAGGCAATGGGAATCCTGTGGTGACCTTAGCTGTTCTTCAGAGTCTCTGCTGTATCAACATTTTCCAGCAAACTGAGTTGGCTGCTCAACAGTTGCCTAGACAAATCTGGGCCTGCTGTAGGCAGAGCTGGCCTTTTGCCTCGAATAGCTCTAGAAGCATGCCAGAGTCACTGGTGACTGTAGGTGCTGTTGCTGTAAAACTGCTCTTCAAGGACAGTTGAGATTTCACTCAAGTTGACTGAAGGCTGGCCATGAAACTACCAGAAGCGTTTGTTGCTTGGGCTGCACATAGCTGAAATCTTGTCCTGTGTTGCTTTAGGGTCTGCTGGCCCTGGAAGGAGAGCTGACCCCCATCCTAGTGCAAATGGTGAAAAGTGCCAATATGAACGGTCTCCTGGACAGTGACAGTGATTCCCTTAGCAGCTGTCAACACAGAGTGAAGGCACGACTGCATGAAATCATGCAGAAGGATGCTGAGTTCTGTGAAGAGGATTATGAAAAGGTAAAGCACATGTGTGGCTTTATTGCTTCCTGTATCTGGAAGGAGAATAATATTGCTCCAGTGGTTTGATGTGAAGCCAGCTGGTATGTGAATGGTAGTTGGTTAGTCTGAGATCAGTTCTGGTCAAAATTACAGGATACAAACAGAACTTAGGAAGGGAAGGGGCAGGTTAATAGCCCCTACCCTTCTCCAAGTGAAAATCCTCAGTGTTGCTCCACTGCCCCTTCAAGAATCATCATGGTACCTTCCTCTCCCTTTACAAGTCCTAGTGCATTTTATTCTCATGGTGTGCTAAAAGAAGAGTTCTCATGGCTTACTGCATGCTGCCCAGAACAATCCCAGTTGCTGTGGGCAGGGAGTACGCCTTGCCAAATTCTAGATTGGTGCTCTGTGCATGTGTGAACAGATCTTTTGGATACAAACTCTTCTGTGGTCCTATCAGTGTCTGATAACTGCAGAGTAGAGAGCATGGGCTACATCCAGCACAGCAACCAATAAAAGCACTACAGCTGCTTCTCCAACAAGTCCCCAAAACACTCTTTTTCACAGACTCTGAGACCTGATTACCGGACTGAAATCCATTACCATTAAGGAACATATTTATCACCTCAAAGAACTACTTAAAACTTCTATGAAGCCCTTCCACTCTAGCACAGAAGCAAAGTGAGACAGGTTTGGATATTGTAGGTGGAGGGAGGTCTGATCTGATCAGAGCAGTTGTTTGCTCCCTCGGTCCTGAGGAAGTGTTTAAAACATGCCTACCTACCCCTAGGAACAGGCCAGCTTATTACCCTCTTCTGGGAGCCCAACTTTTGTACCTAATCAGAAGGCAGTACAGCTGCAAAAGGCAGACATTTTGTGTTCCCAGTTTGTAAAGATACTAACTAATCTCTACTGGTATCTTCTCTCAGCTAGCACCTACAGGCAGTGCTTCTCTACTCAACTCCATGACATTTATCCAGAACCCAGTAGAGGTCTGTAACCAGGTGTTCACCCTGATTGAGAATCTCACCTCCCAGATACAGAAACGTCTGGAAGACCCAAAATCTGCAGGTGAGCATCAGAACTAGAAAGCTTCTGGAGCAGATTTATTTATAGTTACATCTTCAGAGCTCCCGAACGCCACTATTGTTTATGTTTGTCTGTAGCAAAGAAATTCTAAAGTGAAATTCCGTAAGTAGAAGGCTCCGATTCCACTTTCAACTACCGTTAGAGAGAGCTGTAATGTGAAGGAAATGATATGTGCATCTTGGGTTTAGAGTGAATGTAAACAGCAGCAGTATAGCCTGGGGACGTATGCCTGATTTTGCAAGCATTTCCTGGAGGGGAGCTCAAGACTATAGACAGCAAGTTTTTCAGTCATGATTTGCTCATCTCTAAGAACTTTCCTAATAACAGTGCAGAGGTTTTAAAAAGGCATCTGTAGGACATTTCACAAGATTTATTGCAGACATAAGCCAACAGGCAAGCAGTTTCACTTTTCTCAAGTATTTTGGAAGTAGCTTATTGCTGCAGGTTAAAACTCGGTGCAACAGGTCCAGTGGCTTTTCCAGTCTAGGATTCCTGTGGGTGACGTAATAATCAGAGCCCTTCTGTGCTGGGAGAAGTCAGTCATAGCTGTCACTTGTAGAAGTAGTGAGGATGTGAATGTGGTTTGGTGTTCTCTGCTGTTTAGACCTGCAGCTGTACCACAGTGAGACTTTAGAACTGATGCTGCAACGCTGGAGTAAGCTGGAGCGAGATTTCCGCATGAAGAATGGGCGTTACGACATCAGCAAGATCCCCGATATCTATGACTGCATCAAGTATGATGTACAGCACAACTGTGCGCTGAAACTGGAAGGCACAGCTGAACTCTTCAAGCTCTCCAAGGCCCTGGCAGATGTAATCATACCCCAGGTATAGCATGCCTTGCCTGTGTGATGATGTCTGTGGTGTCAGTTTCTGACACTTTCCCTGTCTGTTTTTTCTTGACTCTCTTGCACGTTAACTCTCAAGGCAGCATATGACAGGTAGTTCTCAGAGATATCTCTTAGTGTTTATATAAGGCCAAAACCATTTATGACTTCAGATGTGGCAGGGCTGGCTTCCTGGATGAGGATTCTGACAGTATCAGAATAATGAACAGCTGAGCAGCAGCTTTTCCATGTTCATCGTAGTGCATTATAGCACAGCTTCGAGCTGAGTGTGTGTGCTATAGCAACATCCCATTCTCCACCTACAAGATTGTACAGGGGAAGAGAGATTTCTGTGTTGAAGTGAAGGCTTGTTCTGGCAAGTTTGTTATTCTTGTCAAACTAGAACTTGTTCAGTTTGCAAAGTTGGCTTGTTTCTCACAAAGTTTATGCCCACGAACATGGGAGGGGAAAGAAAGGCCACATGCAACGGATCTCTGTATTCACCATTGTTCTGTCCCATTTCTGGCAGAAATGCTTTGTTTATATGGTATGAGCTTCTACCAGCAAGGTCCAATTGCACTTGTGCCCATGCACAGCAGAAGTGGTCTTCCAAACTTTTTCACAGTGTCCTGATGAGCTGCAGTTTGGCTATTTCCAGCATAGGACTTCAAGTTTTATCTTTGCAAATAGCAGTTGTTGCATTAATGCTCACGCCAGGTCAGGGTATAAGTTTGTGTGTCACGAGAGGAGGTTCCCTGATGGTACTTGCACCTCTCAGCTGTTGGAAAAATACTGACAGTCATGTCTAGACGGATTGGAATTCTTGCAGGAGTTTCTGTCCTCTGTTACCCTCTACAATATGCAGAAAAAAAAAAGAAGAGAAAGGTGCTGAGTGACATTTCCCTTTCTGTCCTTGCTTAACTGTAGTGGTGCTTGCAGACAGGACTGTTGAAGTCCAGCCTCTTTTCATGTGAGGATGTGGCAAACAGCCAGGGCTCAGGGGTATCTATTGTTTTGTTCCTGCAGGAATATGGGATTAATAAGGAGGAGAAACTGGAGATTGCTATTGGCTTTTGTCTTCCTCTCATTAAAAAGATCCAGTTGGACCTACAGAGAACCCATGAAGATGAGTCTGTCAACAAACTACATCCCTTGTAAGGAATGTGCTGCATGCTGTTGCTGGTGGGGAGGGCAGCTTTGGAGCAGTGTATGGGAGCCACACTAGAAGAGCATACTGGTGTGGAAGGAGGCACTGAACATACACTGAAGGACACGCCAAGAGGGAGGCACGTTGGTGCTCCTAGAACTAGAAGGGAAATGGAAAGGCACCTTGAGACCGCTGAGTGGGAGCATGGTGCCACAGAAGCTTAAACCCATTGTAGCTGGATGGTGGTGCCTTCATCCCTGTCTCTGCAAGGAGCAAGTGCCCGTGTGATGGTGCCACCTCTGCCCCACCATGTGTCTCCATTAGGATACCATAAAACTTGCTGCTTCTGTGCCCAATGCTCTCACTGTTTGTTGTGTTCCTGCTGCTTTTTGACAGTTCCCAGTGGGAGGTTATCGTATTCCATTAAGTGTGCAGAAATGCTGCTGTATGATAGATGGCAATTCGTTGGCAGGCTATGAGTAACACTGGTGATTTCGGTATAGGTACTCAAGAGGAGTTCTGTCACCAGGTCGCCACGTTCGGACACGGCTCTACTTCACCAGTGAGAGCCATGTGCACTCTCTGCTCAGTATCTTCCGCTATGGGGGGCTCCTGGATGTAAGTGTCCCAGCAATGCTCACAGAGTAAGCCTCCCTGCTTTTTTTCAGTGGCCCAAGGTGTACAGTGTATGTTTGTAGGTTGACCCTCTAGCCAGCTCCCCCAGTAATGATGCGCATCAGTGGCCTCTGGCCAACTCCATCTCTGCTGTGTTTGCATGCTGCAGCTTCCTGCCTTTCTGGCATGTAGGAGGATTGTTCTTCCTCAGTCCTGACACCGCCTGCCTTGCTTGTACAGAGGCACATTTTCTCCAGGAGCTGTTCTGCTGGTTTCAGATGAGTAGACCACTTACCTGTGTAGGAGGATAGCAGTATGAGGCAGTGGGGATGAGGGAATTTCTCTCTTCCTGCTTCCTTCAACCCTTTATTTCAAGAGCTTGGCCCTGTTATTTAGTGACTTTCTGTCAATGCTAAGTCAAGAAAATCAGTTTGCTTACAGAGGAAGTGACTTGAGGTTGCAAATGCATAGGGGGTGCTCTCTGTCAGAGGGTCAGATGACACATTTTTAGGGGACTAACTCATCCAATCCAACCTTCACTTGCTCTCATAACCTGCTTCCTGAAGAAATTGGCATGCGGACCCTGAGAAAAGCTCTGCTTTAAACTCCTCGAGAGGCTCTCTGACTTATCTTCCCATTTTTAAGCATGGTGTTCTGAAATGCCTTGAGAGTTTGGGCATGATTTCTGATGTCTGTAGAAGCTCAGTGTATCTGTAGGCAGTGATCATGCAAGTACCTCTGAATTGCTCCGTGAATAACATGCTACTTTATTCCCTGACTTGAGTGTCAGAGGATGCTGTGTAGCCAGCAGAGGGGTATTAGGCTGCATCTGGGTTCATTTGTACTGGTGGGGTTCATTTCATGTCCATCAAGGTGGTGAGATGCTCCACAGCAGCATGAGTGGCACTTCAGGTACAGCTATTCCCTAGCAGTGTTTGGAAACAACGAGGGGTGGGCTGCCCTGCCTTGTGGAGCTCAAGAGTCCAGCGTGGCTCTGTGGACTTTTCATTCAGCACCGTGTAAAAGCAGCTTCACTTGGTCCCTTATTTAGCACAAGTCCATCCTGCGTGCTTTTTCTTGAGGTTTCTCTAAAATACTCCCACTATTCGAGGATGACTGTGTTTGGGAACCTGCTGTGGGTTATGCTTTTCTCCAGTCAGCATGGCATAGGGGGCTTGCAGCTGGATGTGCTCAGACCTGCACGTGGATTTTATGGGTAGCTGTAGCATCCCTCTATGCAGTTGCTCCTTACTGTAAGCACCCCACCCTCATTGCAAGGTCATCTCTCTTCATGCAAGTTAAGCAAGGTGTTTTTTGTCCTGACAATGTTGTTATCTTGTGGAGAGACAAGCTCTCTGACCCATTTCACTGAATGCTGCAAGGTGTCTGCTGTTGCTTATTCCATGCGACTGTTTATGTGTATATATCAGGAAAACAAAGACCAGCAGTGGAAGAGAGCCATGGACTATTTGAGTGCTATCTCAGAGCTGAACTACATGACCCAGATTGTTATCATGCTCTACGAGGACAACAACAAGGTGAGGGATATAGCTGTAGGATAAAATCCTTCCTGCCGTGATGCAAGGCACAGTCCCCGAGAGATGAGTTCAGCTGGCAAGTTTGTAACCTGAGCTCTCTCCGCTTGTGAATAAAGATGGACGGATCATTAACACAACTGCTAGTTTTTATTTTTAGGTGGGAGGCAGTGGCCCAGTTAATGCTTGTTACATGTAAGTGGAATGCCACCCTGAGCAGTAATACCAAACTCAAGTAATCAATACTATCTATTTTAAAGCATTTCCTAAAGTAAAATAATTGCTATTTCTTAATATTAATTACAAATGAACAGTAGGAAAAATAAATAAAAACAAATTATATTTGGCAGGTTTTTTCCAAATATTTCTAGAAAATACCTAGAAATTCCACGTTCGTAAACTTTTATTTAAAAAATATACTGATATAGTTAGGGAATTATATACCAATATCTTCAGGAAGTAAAGAGAATCATTTAAAAAACAGCTGGAATGTGGAAACTGATGGTGATGACTGTAAGTAGGTTTGGCACTGAATTGCATGTATTGAATCCCAGGTCCAGTGACTCAGGCCCTGTAGTGCAAGAGGTTGTAGTGGGTGAGGGGAGCAGTCCCTTTCCTCCATATGCTATAGAGTTAGAATCTTGTATTCAAAAAGCTGATGTGGGGTTTTAATGGTAGAAGTGAAATATTTCCTAGTGCTGTTTGTCAAAAACACCCCCAAAACTCTGAATAGAGCTCTTAGGAGCGGTGTAAATCTCTTAGTAAGTAGAGAAGGTGAAACTTTTGGTTTTACATCATTGGTGCCAGATACTGCAAAAGCTCTGGCCTCCCTTAAAAAAAAAATTAAAAGTTTTATATTAGAGACAGTTACTTAAATCTTGGAACAACCTGACTAAAGGTCCTGGAGAGAACCAATCTCTCCCTGCCCCGGTGTGTGCTGGTTTTGGTACAGGAGTGGATCAGAAGGGGCTGTGTTTTAGGTTTGTATATATACATATAGCCCGATTCTGTTTTGGTCCTCTGGTGGCTGTTGTCACAAAATAACAACAGTTTGAATGCCTCAGCTTTGTGCTAATAAGGGCTGTCCTTTTGGATGAGACAAACCTAGAGCCATTATGTTCGTGATTTCTTGTTGCTTCCGCTTTCCTTCCAAAAGGATGCGCTTGGGATGCGTGCTGCACCGGCATGGCAGGGTGGCCCAGGTCCAGACCATGGCCTATGCTGACAGTGGGACTGATTTTTATTTATTTACGTATTCCCCATGCCTCACGTTCACAGGACCCATCTTCAGAAGAGCGTTTCCATGTGGAGCTGCATTTCAGCCCTGGCGTGAAAGGCTGTGAGGAAGACAGAAACGTGCCCACGGGGTTTGGCTTTCGGCCCGCTTCCGCGGAGGTGAGCGCGCTGCCTGGATGCAGGCTGCCCTGCTTGTTGGGGATGTGGCGAGCGTCGGCCTGTCGGCAACCTTGCTGCTCTGCCAGGCTCTGCTGCCATCCAGCAGCAAATTTTTCTCTGACCTCCCTCTTGTGCCTGCGGGCTGTTAGCGGGTTGTGTTCCCTGCCTAACTCCAAGGGTTTGTCAGGGCAGTCTTTGAGAATGCTGGCATCCTCCTGAGCTCAGCAGAGCTGGGAGATTCAAGGCTGGATTCAGTGCCTGGGCAGTGCTGGCGAAGGCCACGTGCCTGTAGGTGTCAATGTTTCCTTGCTGCAGAATGAGGACAAGAAGGCAGACCAAGGCAGCCTGGAGGACCTCTCCAAAGAGAAGGGCATTGATGAGCCGGATCGCGCACAGCAAAGGTCTCCGCAGCCTTCTGAGCCCGTCAGCGTTCAGCGAAGATCACCACTGATCAGGAACCGGAAGACAGGGTCCATGGAGGTAACAATGCAATGGGCACCCTTGGTTGTTCTAATGAAGGTCTTTTGCTTGGTTTTTGTTTCCTGGCATTCCTTTTAACATGACAGAATTTGAGTTGATTCTGGGAAAGGATCTGCAGAAGTGAAAGAGGGATTTTTTTGAAGGCAGACCTCCCAAACTAACTCCTCCTCACTGAGGAAGGACAGGGGGAACACAGGTCAGAGGAATTGATGAGGAAGAGCAAGTAAGGAAATGCTTGAGAAACACAAGAAATATTTGGTTTACATGGTCTGTAGAGGCATCAGTGTAACCAGCTACAAGACTGCATGCAACCTCTTCACCTAGCCACAGTGACATCTTTGCCTTCCCTTAGACTCCAGCCTTTGCCTCTCGCAGCCCAGCTCCACATTTCTTCTCCTGTCTCCCATCTAAAATCTCATGCAAATCGGAGGTCCCTGCTAACTGGTGGGGTTATTACAGAGTGTTTAAACTGTCACAGGGTTTTGAACTGTCCCATTCACTGATCTGCTAAAGTAACAAAGATCAATTTTATTATTCTTACTTCTCTGCTTCAGGGCCGCTGTGAGTCAAGGCTAGCTTCACAGTCAGCAGGTAGCTGGTACCTTCAAAGTGCTCTAGCAATTGCCCCTCCTTTTGAGGGGTTTCACAGGCATTTTTGCTATCTGTTTTCCGAACCAGTGAAAGCAGAGAGTTAGGGCTTGAGGCATTTGTTAGCTGGCTTCCATCTTTGTGTCACTCATGATGTAATTGTTGCATGCAGCACTCGGGGACCCTTTGTAACAGGCACATACTAAGTTAAAGGGGATATACTTTCCTGCTGCTAAAGAAGGAAGTCTATGTCCCAGTGATCCCAGCAAGAGTCTTGGGAGACAGGGAGCTCAGTACACAAGTCCCTTTTGAAACCTCCACCGTTCCACAACCCAACACAATCTTGAAATTAAAATTGAGCATGCGCTGTCACAATCTTAGCATATGTGAGTACTTTTATGCTTCTTGAAAATGGAGATTTTAAGGAAGAGACGTACTTTTCTTTACCTTCAATTGATGTATAAAGGCTTTTGAGGCCAGTGGGTAACTTAGAGCACAACACTGATTATACTGTCTGTCTTTGCAGGTGCTATCTGAATCTTCTTCCAAATCAGGAGGTTATCGCCTCTTCAGCACTTACTCCAGACAGTCTTCTGAGATGAAGCAAAGTGGCTTAGGTACTGTATTTTACCTGTAACCAACCAGCCTGCTCACCTGTACCTCTGTATTTCTGTGGGCATCTGTCTGTCTCTCCACATATACATCTGGCTTAAGTTCCTTGTATGTCTCTATGTGGGTATTATGTCTCCTTTTAGTGTTCCTGTTTAGACCACTGTAGAGACTGTCTTACTATATTTCCTTTTGTGTATGATCTTCTCCTTCAGCTTCTAGCAACAGAAGATGCACTTTTCATCCTTTATAGTATGGGAGCAACAGAGCAAGCTGCCTATTTGCAGGTTGACCTTCTGGTTCCATGTTGTTATCATTTGTTATACCATTTCTGAACTTAGCAGGAAGAGATGAGTTTACATGAAAACTAGCGTGCTTTCTGTTCCACAAAACAGTATTTTACATGCAAAGCTGCTTTTCATGTAAGACTATTATATTTCTACCTTTGCTACATACAGATCTCTTGTATGGAACAGATCTGTCTTCTGTGACGGTGTTTGACAACTCTTTAATTGAGCTGGAATCCCTGGTTAGCCATTCTTTGCATGGTAGCCAGCGGAAGAGAATATTTTGGGGCACTTGGTGTTCTCTGCCTGTCCTTGAGAGTACCATTCCCTGTCATCCTAACCTAAACTATGTCTTAATAGTTGAAATTCTTTGTGAAATATTTTTGCTAAAGCAAGATCTACTTGGAAATTGAAAAGCTGTCTTTGCTGTCATGAGGTTCAAAGATAGCTGTGAAACCTAGGTCTTGCAGATGACTAATAAGCACCAGGAGGTGGAAATGCCCAAGTTATGCCCACTTTCTTTAAAACCATATTTGCATTATGGCATGGCCATAGACTTGCAGCAGTTCTGACTCATCAGTTCTTTACTCTGTTATGTGCACATCGTGCAGCCAAGAGATTTCTGAAAGGCCTGGTAATTTCTTTGTCACTTTTGAATGAGCTACTGCTTTGGAAGCTCACTCTTACCAAGTAAAGGGCATTTTCTTCAGAGTGGTTAGGAAGTATCCCTGGAGTCTGCCAGTTGTGCTCCCAGCCAGTTGAAAAAATCTAAGAAGGAATGGCTGATGCATATTATTTTCATAAAGGCACAATAGCCTTGGCCATAGTGAATTTTGAATGTGCTATTTCATGTGGTGCATCTACTTCTGCCTTTCACAGACCACCTGCAGGATTAAGTAAGCTGTAATAGACTGCCTTGCTTAGGCTTGAAGAAACCTGTGAATCCATGTGAATCAATATGAGAATTTCCAAGATGGCACACAGTCAAGGAAGTGCATCTGTGTGGAAGATTACGGAGAACCTCAAATGCTGCATGCAAACTGTCTTTGCTGTTTGGATGTCCGAGTACCAGACGACATGTGCTCTGGAAAACAGATATTACAGCCTTATTTACTACAGCCTTTTCCAGGTTTCTGAGGAATGTCTGTTTTGGCAGTAGAGAAGACTACTACTCTACTAGATCCTTGTACAGTACTACCTTTCCTTGACAACAAAATTTGAAATGTGATCCCAGCAGGTTTAATTTCAGGTTCTTGTGTGACTTTCCTTGCTGGGAAGCCTTTGCTGGTCACTCTCCCAACTGTGAAGCTCTGCAGAGACAAAACTTTGAGTAGGAATTGATAGACCTGATCTGTGACAGCAAACCTCTAGCTGGATACTCAGCCCAGCCATCATTCTTCTCTATAGAGTCTTGCAGCTGCAGGCACAGAAGGGTTGAGAAGGAGAGACCTGTGGTGCAACACTACCTTGCACAATCCCTGGTTATTAGGATGTCTGTGTTTCTGTGAATTTATCTTAACCTGAGAACCGTTAAGAAGAATGATGCTTCTTTACCTGTGAAAGTCAAGCTCTTCAAGGAATCTTCCTGATTCTTTTCCTGCTTGTTTTGTAGAAATCTAATTTCTTCCCACTTTAGGATCTGAAATGTGCTCTCTCTGGGAGAAATAATATAGAACTCACGGGAGCTTGAACTTTGGCTTTAATACTTGTCTCAGCAGCTGTGCTATGAGGGGGTTCATTCAGATACTACCTGCTGTTTCTGAGCTTTTCTGAAATTGAGCCTATCTCCTGTTGCCTGACCTTGTCAGTAGCTGGTTATTGTTATCTCTAGGAGAATGGATTCTCTGGGAGAATGCCTGTTCAGGTATAACCTCATATGCTTAGGCATGCAGAAACGGGGAGCAGGACGGAGCTCCTATAATAACCCTGCTGCCATACCTGCCAGAATTGTGTCTTTACTGTAACTTAAAAAATGCCTTGAAATGTCTGTTTGGAAAAGGGATGGGCTGCAGCTTGCTTTGTCTGTGCAAAGTGGTGCTTTGGAGTATGCCATGTTTTTCTGGGCAGGAGCAAGTGCATTATTGTGGATTGTCTGCAATAGTGTGCATGCTTCTAGCTTGAGAAGCCTAGGGAAGTTTCAGTGCCTCTCTTTGCTTGCAAGAACACTTCAAAACGGGGTAAAATCACTCCTTGCTATTTGAGCAATAGAGGTGGTGTATTGCTGGCGGGCGTGAAGCTTTGTGCTGAGACTCACATTCCTGTAGGGGAATAAGGGCTGTCAATTTTTTAAACATCTGAAACATTGAATGTACATCTGAAAATTAAATACACAAAAAGGATCCAGCACATACAGTAATTTCTAGCAAATGTAGCTACATCTTAAATCCAAATGGCTAGGTACCATTATGTTCTTTAGGATGTGTGCATGTGTGTGTGTGTTAACTTTGGCTACAGTCATCTCCTAGAGTTCACCGTAGACAATTGCTGTTGTCCATAGCGTCATCTTTGTAAATTGTCTTCTGGCTTAAGGGTGCTAACAAAAATGCCTCTGTCTGCTGTAGGATAGCAGAAACACTCGAGTATCCTTAGCTTAATGATTAGTGGCAGGAGGTTGCTCAAGATAAAAAGTCATAAAAATTTTCTGCTCCATTTTTATCTGCCAGTAAATGAGTCTGTTGGTTTTGTTGTTGTTGTTTGTTTGTTTGTTTGTTTGTAAGCCATGGAAGGACAATTAGGAGTGTCATCCTGGCTGCTGCTTGACAAAATTTTGTTTGCACTCTGACAGATTCCAGTTCATGCTGAGTCAGCCCTGAGCTTCAATTTAAGGCATTAGGAGGAAATGTTCTAAGACTTGTGTTATCAGTCACCTTGCAGGCAAGAGTTCTTTCTTTGTCCAAGGACACGTATGTGCTAGTCTGTCCTGTGGAAAGCTACCAGCAGTGTCACGGTGGTGGAGTAGCTCAAGTTCAGTGCATATGAGAACTCTTTTGGTCATCCCCCACTGTTCCCAGGAGCAGATATTGTCAGCTTAGGCTGAGCTTACATGTGAATAACGCAAAACTCAGGATCTGTGTGTGTTTTCTCCAAAGAAGCTCTGGCTAAAAAGGAGCTTTACAGAGAAATAGCTGGGGTCCTGAAGAGCAAGGAGTGGATGTGAGGCAGCAGTGTGTCCTCACACCAAAGGCGGCCAACAGCACGCTTTGCTGGATTGGCAGGAGTACAGCCATCAGGCTGAGGGATTTGGTTCTACCCCTCTATTCACCTCTTGTGAGACCACGTCTGAAGTACTGCTGTCATGTCCTGGGCTCCTTAGTGCAAGAAGGGTGTGGATGTAGCGGGTGTAAGCCCATTAAGGGGCAGTGGAGGTGGATGGGGGCTGAAGCACACGACCTGTGAGGAGAAGCTGAGAGAGCGGGGCTTGCTCAGATCAGAAGCTGTGGGAAGTGGAGACCTTAATGCTGTTCAACCACCTAAATGGGAGGTTACAGAGAAGGTGGAGACAGACTGCTCTCCAAGGCGCATGGTGATAGGATGAGAACCAACAGACACAAGTTGCAGCATGGGAAATTCCAGTTAGCTAGGCGGAACAAATTTTTCACCGTGAATGTGCCAGATATTGGAACAGGGGCCCAGAGATGTTGTGAAATCTCCTTTCTTGGAGATGTTCAAAACTTGACTGGACAAACCCTAGCAAACTGATCCAAGCTGGCCCTGCTGGGGTGTTGGGAAAGAAGCCTCCAGAGGTTCTTCCAACCTAAATCATGCTATGATGCTGTATTTTAGAATTGAGACCTGCTTGCAATATAGGCAGGATCTTTGTAACAGTAGTAACAGTTGCACTGTTCCAGTTAAATACTAACAGGCAGTATGTCAGCCTTTTTGCCTTGGCAGACAAGGTGGGACAAGATCAACCTGCTTGTTTCTGGAAGCCTTTTGTATGCAGGAATAATGTTGGGTTTAGCGGTTGGTATTCTCAGTACAGAATGCAGCATCAAGATGGTTTAACAGAGAATTTATAGCCAATCAGTGGCTTCGTCTGGGCCGTAATAAGGTTTTTGTCTCACTCACAATTGCTTTCCTCAGTCCAAAGAATCCTGTTTTAAAAGCCCGATGTTCCCTAAATATCACATAAAGTCAACTCACTCTACAGAATACTGTGCCTTGCAGGAGCAAACACACCAGTAGCTGCCAAAGCCACTGGCATTAGGTTTGCCCTCCTATGTATGAGACCGTCTTGCATGCCATATTCCTCGCCATAGGGTAAGCAAAGTTCCATGCTGTGTGCACATCTGGTGCTTTGCAAGGGTAGTTCATGGAACAATTGGACCTACTCTGGAGTAGCAAGACATGACCAAGCGGATGTGAAATATCATCTGGGTAGCAGCTTGTGAAAGAAAGCTCTCTGGTCGCATTGCTTTCCTTACTGCTTGACAGAGTGATTAATCCACATTTGCTGATCAACAGATCAGGCAGTCCTTTCTTGTTCTTGCTGTCCTACAGAAAAAGGAGCTTTCCAAAGAGAAGGGGCAGAAGAGCAGAGAAATGAAGCCCTGTGACATGAACACCAGTGATTTGGCATCCTGGCTTTTCTGACATGAGTGTGCAGATTCACTGACTGGAGGGTGTCAAGGTGTTTCTCCTAGGTCAGGGCAAGAAAGCCAAATGGAAATAAACCCCTGGACAGAGTTAGGAACTTTCCTGGTGCTGAGTTTTGGGCTACCTGTTGTGCATTTAGCACTACTGAATTTAGAATGGGGAATATTGCCCCCCTATGCTCCCTGGCATAATTTTTTTTTTTCCTGAGATTGCCTGCAAAGTGGCCAGTTCGTTCCTCATTCCTTGACTAACCCTGCTTTTCTGTAGTTGCATGCGGTGGAGATATAATACTAACACCTTCCATGCCTTTCCAGGGTCACAATGCACCGGCCTGTTTAGCACCACTGTGCTGGGAGGCTCCTCCAGTGCCCCCAACCTCCAGGACTACGCACGCAGCCATGGCAAAAAGTTTGCCAGCAGCCTGACATACAAAGACGGTATGTGTGTTCCCTGTGCAGCAGGCGGTTAATGTGTGGACTTTGGTGTCTCAGGATGCTACTGAGGCAAAGACTTAGACAGCTAAGAAGAATGACAGTTGTATGTGTATATTCGCCGCATCTACAGTAATGCATTTTATCATATCCCAGGAAATTGTGATCCTTGCTAGGACAAGACAGGAGCTGACATTGTGCGAGGAGTTTTATGCTGATGTACGGTATTGCTGGGGTCTGATTTTGGTCTGACATTTTAATACTACTTGCTGTTGTGGAGGAAGATTTATTGGTCTAGATATTAAATAGGTTTGTCCTGGTATGGAAATCCAGCACATCACATCATCTTGCTTACCTCGGTGATCTTGCTGATGCTAAGTGAGCTTTTGTGGACACAGTAATCCTTACCCTGTGGAAGATGGAGCCGTCCCAAAGGCAGAATGACACGCTTGGGAGTGGATAAGATGGGTACTAGAGTAAGGCTGAGCACACAGAAGAGTCTGAGGTAGCTGTCAGAAACCAAGTGTAATATGCCTGAAATGCTTGAGGTAAGTGGGATACTTGGATGAAATACTGCAAAAGGACTGGAAAGTCTAGTTATTGTGCAGTTCTGCAGAAACTGCCTTGAAGTTCAGCAAGACAATCTGGTAAAATGTGTTTGAGTCATTAGTATAAATGTTGCCCGATGCACATGGGTGAAGGGGTGTTACCAGATGCAGACTGATCTGCAAGTAGTACAAGTGCATTATGCATTGAGGAGCAGAGAGTGTGTTGCTACTTCCAAGAAAATTGGAGCACAGGTGAAGACTGAGGTATGCTGGAGCTGTTGAAGGGGTGTAATGCACAAGTGCAAGTGTTCGTGGTGATCCTGATAAGAAAGGCACTCAGACTCTGTAAGTACTGATTAACATAACCATTTGTTGGAATGCTGAGTTGAGCAGCACTGAACAAACCTCTCCAAGGGTAGGATCTGCACAGCGTGCTGTGCCCTAGCGGGAAATCCACCTAATGTTGTACAATTCGGGCTTCCCAGCATCGGAATGGATGTAAGATTATCTATTCTCTTCTTGCTTTTTGTGTTCTAACAAATGGTATTTTAATCGGTACTTTACAGAGACCCTGTAAGACTTAAGAGCCTTTCTTATCGGGATGATAACAAACGCTAGCACTGGTGGATTACAAGGTGGGGAGACGATTAAGGCAGTAATTCGGGGCCATTGGGGAAAACAGGAGGTTGATTGGTTTGGATTTTTTTCCAGTTTTGAGGCAAGGAAAATGGCCTAGCAAATCAGGGTGGAAAGATGCTATCCAGTTCTCAGACCTATTGGAACCTCATGATTACTGTTGTATTGAGACCATTATGTATACTGGCTTTCTGTGCTGCTTTTCACGGTGTAAGAGAAAACTGTTGCTTCCTACATCTCCAGGGAGCTCCCTAGCACACAACAGGCTGTGAGTGATAGAGACAGGGAGGGTGAAGTGGGGGGTTTTTAAATCCTCCTGTACCAGTCTGAGCTGCTCAAGGCAGCAAGTGCTGGCTACTCATAGGTCCCAGAATAAGCTCATGGTATTTGGCACAAGACGGGGGTGTGAATATCAGGAGAGCTGCTGAAATGGCCGGCAAGGGCTCTGGCTGCTTTTCTTCCATAACTCTGCAAGCAGTGTGAATCCAAGGCAGCACTAATTCTGAGGGGAAAGCATCAAAGGCTGCTTGCTCTGTACCCAGCTGGGAGCAGAACAGATTCTGCTTAGTCCTGGTGCTGTGGTGCCTTTCTCTGTAGGCTGTGTAGTAGGAGTGTGCCGGCAATTGGCTACTCTCATTCAGGGGCCAGAGCAGAGTCCTGCTGCATTAGCCTAAATTCAGTGACAAGGTCTCTGCGTGCTGAGACGCAGTTGTGCCCTCAGGTACTTAAAAGGCAGACTTATTTAACTAGTGTGTGACTAACACAGCCCAGAGTCATTAATCTTGATGTTACACTTCTTTTTTCATGTTTCTTAGTGTGCCCTGGCACCTTGTGCTACCAGCACCTTGCTGCAATAAGAGCAATTTTGAGGAAGAAGCAAGGGGCTTGGAAAAACAAGTAGGAGGCAGAAGGGTGTTTAGCTTCTGGGGAAGGTAGTTTGGAATGTGAAAAAAGCCCTTGATCTTCATGTTCCTGCTTAAGTGAGCACCAATGAAATGCTGAACAATGACATTTAAACCAAACATCACTAGAACTGAATACAGTAGTGACACAGCAGCTACAGCAGACTCTTGGAATACATTTGTATCAAGGCCTTTTTCACAGTCATCAGGCTAATAATGTTTAAAAACCTTCAGATTCTGAAACACATCTTTGCATGAACTCTTTGATATTTTTTCATGGCTGTGATGCTTCAAGGTGTGGTGCATGGCTTATAGCACTTCATCAAAGACTTGCTCAAGGGAAGTTAAAATGGCCCTTATTTCTGAAGTCTTTTTTGCTTGGGGCTGAAAGAGGGCTAAGGAACACTTCAGTGGCCAGTTGTGACCCAACCTCAGGTTGCGGGAAGATCCGCTGATGGTTGTGATTTGAAGTTGGCTTGTCTGAAGCCAGGGATCCAGTAAGCTGTGTTGCAGTACCATTTAAATTGATGTGCTGTAAAGGCAAGGGGGAGATGTGGGGTGGAATGGAGATGGTTACCAGCTGGCTGACTGCAGCTCCAGGTCTTGGACACTTCTAAGGGATTGCATGTGTAAGGAAGATTGTCATGCTCTATTTGTTGAGTTTAAAGAAAGAAAAACAATTTTTAGGCCTGTTATGCTGGCAAAGGAAATTGCAGCAAGTTTGGGAGTTGGTTTAAATATATTATTTGGCCAAGTCAGTGGATGTAGCTAGAGAAGCACAATGGGGGTGTGGAGCATAAATTGATATGTGTATCTCCTAACCTTGGTGTATAGGGATAGGCGTACAGACCCTATTGACTAGGTAGAACGGACGCATGAAACATGAAAGAGAAATAAAACCATTTTCTAATATTTCCTAAAAGTTCCTAAATAGCAGCAAAAGGTATGATTGGCTGGGGTCTCACATCAAATCCTGCATACAGATGGTCTGATCTAGGCCACCCTTTCCCATGATAGCCAAGGAATTTCCAGAGTGGGAATAAACTGAAGTATTCAGCCTTTTTTTTGGTGCATAAGGAGACTAATCAATTTCTTTTAAAGCTCATCTGTTTGCACTCCATTAGATGCACAGAATCTGTCCTTGCACTGTCTTTCAATGTGTGATTTCTATGGGAGAACCTGGCCTGGCCTCGGACATGGCCAGGAGAAGCCTGGGGACCACCCTGACAGGTGTATCCCAAAACCTCTTCTGTACTGAAATGCTTTGAGCAACAGAACTGTAGAGGCATGTCTTCATGGGTCTTCTGTTTGTTCCCTAATTAGTTTGTTGATTTAGGTTTAAACTCATAAATAGCTCTGTTTAGCTTGCATTAAGAGGATGTTTTGAGCTGCACTTACCTACGCCAGGGCTCTTCAGTTCCTCTGCAGAACGGTTGTCATTTTCCTTGGGCAGAGGTGAATCCTGAGAACTGTCCTCCTGTGGTGCTGCTGCTTGCTTGGCCATGTGCTCCTGTGGCTGTGAGCATGGCCTAACTGCATCTTGCACTGGACTGAGCCTGGGTTGCTCTCAGGATGGCTGCAAGTGTGGTGGGAAGGTATGAGATGCTGTCTGTGACTGCGAGAGTGTGGCTGAGGTCTTTGTAATGCCAGGAGAGACCCTGGCAGGGCAGTGCAAGGGAAGCGGGGAGCCGGCAGAGTGCGAGGAAGCCAAGAGGTCAGACCTGCAGGTAGAGAGTGCCCAGGGTGCTACAGGAGTGCCAACGGGAGCATGTGCTATGGGGGTCAAGAAGGTGAACCTGAAAGGGTAGTTGCAAGCATATGAAAGTCGGGGGATCCTTAGAAGCAGGCTGTTAACTGAGATGATCTGTTTTTATTTCCTCAGAGCTCTTGTCTATGCCAGCCGTAAAACGATTTTCTGTGTCGTTTGCAAAGCATCCAACTAATGGTACGTTTGCTTCCTTGATTTGACGTTCCCTCGCATTTCTAACCCCATGCTCACATTCAGTTCTCTCTGCACATATTCTCCTCTCAGCCTTCTTGTGGTTTTTTTTGTGTCTGTGTATCTGGTGTCCAAACATGCTTCACCTTCCCCCATTGTCTCATTGTGACTAACTTGTTCATTCATCCTCTGTCACTGCTCAGTGGTTCCTCTGCTGTCCCCCAAGGCGTTTGTGTCCCAGGTGAAAAAGCAAGAGCAGTGGCTCTGTGAATGGACTCCTAAAGCAGCCTGTAATTCCACTGCTGACATTAAGGCCTTCTTTCACACTCCCTTTTTGGGGGGTGGGGGTCAGGGGAAGAATACCATTGGATTTGGGGGGGGGGGGAGATGTCCACTCCATAACCTATAAGAGCATCAGCAGCTTAGGTCCTCAGTTTCTACAATGCAGATTTGCAGGAGCAAAACAAGGATAGCCTGAGGCTACCCGTGTGTTGCCTGGAAGATTACAATCTATGGTGGGAGAGAAGGAGGTGCTAACAGCATTCCCTCTGCGTGTGATATTCCTCAGCACAGTCGTTTTAGGAGTACTGGTAACCTCATGGCTTCCTATTTGCAAACTTGTCTGTTAGCGTGGTCCCTTGGTTACTCCAAGCATGGTGGTGTTGGCGGGAGTAGGCTCACCTTTCCTGCAGATGTTATCCTGGGAACGGTGTCTCTCCAGAACTTTCACTCATCTGTTGGTGGACAATGCTGGCTTGGGCCTGCCACCTTGCTGAGGTGGGAGGGCACTGGCCCACGCCACCCAGGGTGATGTAACCTGCTTCGCTCCTGTCATGCTAGTAGCCTTGAAGAGGCTTGGTAAAGAAGGACATCCGACGATGCTTCTGTTGACTCGCCATCTCTGCTTCATATTGCTACTAACCTAACATGTGAACTGTGAGTCTTTTGAGGCTAAAGACCATTAGCTCTGTGGTAGCAGATGCCTTGAACTAGTGTTTATTATCCAAGTCTTGCACAGAAACTTTTGAAAAGGTTTGTTTCGCAGCACCACTCCTACCTCATGGCTCCTGCTGTTGAGACAAGTTAGAACCAAAGCAGATCACTGAAAGATACAAGGTTAAGTATTTCTGTCTTATGTGATCAAAGCTGCTTCTGCAATCTTGTTGCTTAGTCAATATGAAGAAATTGTGCTCTGCATGATCTGGAAGATGAAAGAAGTTCAGAAGACTGTTATGAAAACCAAAGTTTTGGGAAAGGTGAAAGGGCAGCTAAATGTGGCTTTATTGTTTCAAATATCTGAAGGGAACCTATTTTCTGTGTTTGCTAAGTTTTGTTTTTCCCAGAGTGGCCAACTGCTTGATTTGTTTGTATGTCTGGATACCATCTGAGCTCACGTGGTGTATGTCAGCAGGATGTGTCGTTCTATCTTGCCAGCAAAACTTGTACCAAGCACCAGTCTTTCCTAAGCCACACTGTAAAGCAACTGCCCCCGTCCCAAATGCAGTGAAGTGAAACGGGGCATCAGGTTTTTCCCAAGAACCGAATGAATATTTCTAACGGCAAAGTGCTCCTTAATCAAGAAAACAAAGACAGAGGTCCAGCAGGTGTGAGCTTGAAGTTAGGCCTGTTTGGTCTAGGCTTGGCACTGGTTTTAGCAGGAAGGATGTTTAGCCACATGAACCACTCGCCAGAGGATGCAAAAGCTATTCACAGCTCTGAATCTGGGTTTTGTTTCTGAAGAGCTGCCCCTATGTGGTGAAATGGGATGGGTGAACCAGAGCAGTGGCAAAGCACAGTGTCAGGCCAGATGCTTTATGCCCTGGTCTCATGAGTCTTGGGAGTGTGACATGAGTCCCGAGGCTGTATAGGTGGAGGAGAAGACATGCCTGCATGCACGTACCTTGTCTGCCATGCAAGGATATCACAGAAGATTGCACAGGGCTGTTCTGAGAGTCTAGAGAGAGGAGGTCAGCACTTCTGTGCCCCCTCTGTTCTTCCGTACTCTTAAGCACTATGCTCTCAGTCAAACCATGCTGTCCCCCAGTGTCCCTTCCACAGCCTCCGGTCGTTTGATGCGTGGTCATTTGCTTTCTTCCATGTGCTGAGGTGGCTGGCTGTGTTTGGATGCAGGACTGGAACGCTCTGTTGGCAGTCTGGATTTCTTGTCTCAGCTGGGGGAGGGTGAGTGTGGGCCTGACCTTCTTACCAGGCCAAACCTGAACTGTATTGGACTTAGAACATGTCCTAAAATTTATTTGCTTGTCAGACTTCCACTTACAAAGATGAAACCTCGCTGCTCAGGGACTGCCCCTGCACTGCAGCTGTGTTTGGCAAAGGCCGGGCCAGGTGGGAGGCTGGCCTGCTGCAATGTGACTCGGGGTATGTAGATCTAAGGGTATTCCTGACCTGCTCGCTGCAGGAGGGATTGGGCTTCAGTGTGTGGTGTGGGTCTTTCCCACCCAGCGGCCCCGGTGCTGGCAGCTCCATCCCCACATCTCCACAATTTCTCTGTCCCCAGCTGCACCTGCCCCTCTCCTCTCACTCTCTATGGCCCCTTTCCTCCAGATGCGTTTGAGCACCACCACGTTGCCCAGTTGCTGCGCCGTTTTTCCTCTGACTATGCCATGAGCCGGAACATCTCCCTGGATGCCACTCTAGCCCATCACCTCCAGCAGTGCTCCTACCACCTGCGCCTCTTCAGGAGCTGGCTGACCTCAGGGCAGGATGACTTGGAGTGTCTTTACGGTACTGCACGCTGCAGCTGCCTTGGTCCCGTGCTCTTGTAGCTGAGCAAGGACCACTGTCTGCTTGAGAATGCAAACAATGCTTTGCTTCTAAAAAGGAAAGCGTTTCCTTCACTGCATCCCTTAAATCTCTGGGCTGCTGCTGCAGCAAGCTGTGTGGGCTGTTGCACCTGGCAGTTTTGGAGCCTTAGGCATTAGCCTTTCCACATGGAGCCAGTGCTCTTTGTGTGGCTGTAGCTGTGCTCTTTCCATCTTTGGCAATTGTTCGTTGCCTCCTTCCTTTAGCCAGGGTAAGCCCTTAAGCTTCCTTCAGGTTAGGTGCTGAGCTCCTACCAGCATGATGCCCTGCTGGCGTGATACCCCTGTGCAGATCCCAGTGGGGTGCCGCGAGGTGCCCCATTATTAACAGAGGAACCAAAGTACATAGTAAGTGTGTGGAAAGAAAGATTAAGGAGGCACTGCAGCTGGTCACGTGCAGAGTACACTTGCTGTGGAAATTTTGGGGAAGTGAGTGTTTGTGGGATTGTGTTGTTTCTAGAGAGACCAAGTTAAGGTAGGGTAGAAACTGAGCTTCTGTGTGGCTGCATTGCATGGCGTCTGTTCTGCCTGTTAGGACCTCTGCAGTGTGTCATGTCTCTGGTGGGAAGAGGTAGGCTATTTCAGTATTGAATCTAGATGCTACAAAGCAAAGCTTGCTACTGTTTCTCTGGTAATTCTCAGCCTCTGGCACAGATGAGAAGTCTGATGCATTGAGGTCTCAGTGCTTCTAAGACAAATAGGAAGATTCCTCTGTGAGAGAGGCAGCTAGCTAGGGCTGGCTGTTAACGTTTACCTTGCACCATAAAACCTGCTTGGTGCATGTGGCTTGCTGAGCTGTGTGGTGTGATGCATGGACCTCCTTTTTTTATTCAGACCGATAAGTGGAAGGGGCAGAGACAGTATAGCTGTTCGTGTAGTGAAGCAACAGGATCAAGCATTTTCAGAGCCTGGAAAAGAGAATTTTTTCTTACACAGTCTGTTTTTTCTTGATACGGCCCTTTCTGTCAAGTAGGCAATTTGGAGATGGCAGTTACTTTTCATATATAATTAGGACAATCCTTGGTCTCCTAGCAACAATACTAAAGAGGAGCAAAATTGCTTCAAGGGAAGAGATGCTGGAACACAGCAGACTGCTCCAAAGCCAAAGCTGAGCTTCCCCTGCTGCAGATCTCGGCCATCTCCTGTGAGCTCTGGTAGGCAAAGGAAATGAACTCAGTGCTTTGGGTGGCAATATGCCAAATATTGCAGCACGGTGCTGGGCTGTGCAGCCTGCCCTAATGCAGCCGAACGTATGAGTTATGTACCTCAGCGTAGCAACCTTCCTGTGTAGAAATCAGATCTCTGCAATCAGTGAGTTCTTTCTTGCTGTTTTCTCAGTCTATCATCAAGCCCACAGTTA